CCATATTTATGTGTCACCTGCTTCTGTTGCTCAGCCATTTACAAAATGCAAACTGGTAATGCCAGTCTCAGCCTCTGCCTGCCTTATCTCTCTACTCCCCTTAGAAGCCAAGTGGATGGTGGGGACTCTGAAGGGCCGCCCTCAGTGATGCCCACGGCAGCCCCGAGCCAACTGGCAGGGGCTCTTGCTGCCCCACCCCCATGCCTTAACCTGAGTGTAAGGGCTTGTTTAGACCAAATTGTTTCCTGATCTTTTGAACCAGGCAAGTATCTATCTGTTGATTTATTTTCTCTTGCAACAAAGATCTGGAACATTGCTTTAATAGGTAACTCCAGCCTGTGTCCAAATAAATATCCTTGTGTCCAAGGTGTCATATCCTTATATCCATGGATGTATCATATCCACTCCATGCTGCGTATCCCAGGGTTTTCATATACTTATGTTATAGCCTCGTGCTAGTCTCCATGTCTGCAAAAGTTTTAGCCACAGATCTATAAAGCCCATCTTGGGAAGCAGGTTAAGAATAATTATTTGAAAAAAAATGTCACTGTGATTATAATTATCACCCCACATGCTTCCTCCAGGCTTACCTTGCATCTAATATTTGGGAACTCACAACCCCAGACAGACTCTTACAGAATAGGGATGTTACTTTCTCCCTTCTGTCTGCCTTCTTCCCTCATTTTACCCCAATGCGTATTTCCTGAAGTTGTATATAAATTAAACATTTGTAAATGAGTTATATTTTAAGTGCCAAGTGACAATGCTATGTAGAGAAATGCTCTGAAAAACCATTTTGTAATATGAATAACCATTTAGCTGCTCTGTAATTACATAGTTTGCATTTGCTTAAGGTAGGTTGTACTTGAACTCTGGACTTTCTGTCCCCTAAATGATGGGTAGACAGATTATATGACTGTATTTGTAAACATCTGCTTTTCACAATTGGTCTTTGTAATGTCTTTTCTCTTCGTTTAGGTTTTTTATTGTTTTGTGATTTCTATTTACAAAACACCAGAAATGCAGAAATGGTTATAGTACAACTGTCATTAAAAGGTGTATTTTGCCTACTGAGGTTGGACACTTTTTTATAGTCTAGAAACAATTTAGGTTCTGCCCACCTCTTCTCTGAATGAACAAACCATCTGGATTTTGCCCCCAAGAAACTCTGATTTCCCAGTGTCTAGAGCATGAGGTGTTGGATCTTGTGCTCTGTGAGGACCCTCCAGCTCTAGCCTGCCCACCTAAGTCAGTGGTTCTTCAAGCCCCCTCTAATAAACAGCAAGATCATGACTAAGCTCAGTATGTAAAACAGGCAAGAGCGCTGATTAGGAGGGAAGCGCATCTACCAGCATGAGCCAGGGATAGAGCTCACCAACTCAGCCCAGGGGTGCTTACATTTTGAGATCTTGAGGCAGTCTGAAAACACTAAGTTAAAACAACAAAAAAAATTTTTTTTAAAGATTTTATTTATTTATTCATAAGAGACAGAGAGAGAGAGAGGGAGAGAGGCAGGCTCCCCACTGAGCAGGGAGCCCGATGCGGGACTCGATCCCAGGACCCTAGGATCATGACCTGAGCCAAAGGCAGAGGCTTAACCAACTGAGCCACCCAGGCACCCAAAACAAAAATTTTTTTTAAAGATTTTATTTATTTATTTGACAGAGAGAGAGAAATAGCACAAACAGGGTGAGGGAGGCAGAGGGAGAGGGTGAGGGAGAGGGAGAAGCAGACTCCTTGCTGAGCAAGGAGCCCTATGTGGGGCTTTATCTCAGGACCCTGGGATCATGTCCTGAGCCAAAGGCAGACAGTTAACCAACTGAGCCACCTAGGCGTCCCCAGAATATTTCTTTCTTAAGAAAAACTCTTTTGTTGAGATAAGGGTTATAAATTCTATAGATTTTAGGGCAAACATAATGATTTAGAATTAAGAGGAGGGCCGGTCTGAACAAAGGAAGGGCCCAAATTTAAAGATGTGTAGTATTCTTCTTTTTGAGCAAATAATTAGTTTGGCCAGCAAAATATTGACTAAGAGATTCCTCTATGAATAAATATGAGTGTTTTGCATTTGGCATCTCTTTAGGTAATTTTTCAATTAACCTGATTAAGCCCTTCTGGGATCTTATTTGCATTAGCCTGGGTTTAGCTTGTTTTCTGTGGATAAAATCACTCCAGGTTTTGCCTGTTTCCATTCAGATTAAATCAGGATGTCCAGACTGGTCTTTGATGTCCAAGTCTAGATAAAGGAAAAATGTCTAATAGAATGCAGTCCCCATTAGGGTTCTAGGTCACCAACAAAACTTTCAGAGGAAATCATGCCACTTAAGGGTGTTAAGCATGTTCTAATGATGGCAACAGCCCTCTTCCTATCTCAGGGTAATGGTCTTAGTTGGGTTTTGGATCCTCTAGTCCTCTCTAAACCAAGCATGGAGGGCTGTGTTTCACCTGAACCTCATGCTGTTAGTTTTGGATGTCTCATTAATCACACTTTCCAAACTCCTATTTTTCTCAAAACTTTAAAAATCACCACGTGGAACTGTGGCAGCACCTGACACAGGGCTCCTGCAGGGCCCGAGGTCACCTGGGTGAGGCCGGGTTGAGGCCTGGGGATGCTGCTGAGGGTCTGGGTGAGGCAAGGGAGGGCCTGGAGGGGCAGGGAACCTGGACAGACAGAATGTTTTCTGACAGAGATGAAGGGGTGGCACTTTTGAAGGGCAAGGGGAAGACTTTAATTCAGAATAAGGCCAGGCTACACTTGGACAAGTACATAGGACTTTGGTTACTCAGGGAGACTTTCCCTAATTTTTAGCATTATTCTTTTTATTCTGGACATGGCCCCCTTTTGTGAAATTTACCTGTACCTCAAGGACCATGCTATAAAATGATTGGAACCCAGAATCAAATTGCCTTTCACTCTCCCTTCCTCCACACTTATGAGCTTCAGGACCCAGAGAGACCACAGAATCCTAGCCCATCTCTCTGGGTATCCCCAGCTGGCCAAGGCCAAGCTGCACGACTGGAGGCCTCATATCTGGGGCTTTCTGGGGTGTCTGGGTTTGGGTCCAGTGCAACTTTGGTGCTGCACTTTAGGGGCTACTGAAGATCAAGGTGGGAAATAAACAGAGGGGCTCCTGTGGCTATGACCAAGGGCATATCAGGGCAGTCGCTGGTACCCCAGGGAATACTCTACCATTGTCTGCCAAGCTCACTGGGACGCTGGTGCCAGGAGACTCAGTGCCGTTCTTTTGGTGTCCAGACTAAGCTCTGCCCCAAGCTCTACTACCAGCCACACAATACGGTAATTCCTTTGAATTTACAAGGCACTGTTCTAAGAGTTCTAAGCCCCTTCTGGGTATTATTCTCTTTATCCTGAGCAAATGCATGAGTGTCAAAGATCGTTTTCTCCTTCCTTTGTCCCAGGCCTGGATAATTCTTTGTAGGGACTGTTTTGTACAGATTAGGATATTTAGCCAGCATCTCTGGCCTCTATCCACTCGATGCCAATAGTATCCCTCAGTTGTGAGAATCGAGAATGCCTCCAGACATTACCAAGTGCCACAAGGGCAAAATCAGCCCAGTGGAGAACCAGTGCTTCAGGGAATCCAATGCCTGTGTTTGCAGCTTCTCTGACAGTTTTCCTTACAAAGCACAAGCCTTGGCACAGGGACAAAGGAAAAGTGGGCGATGTCTGGCTTGCCGCATCCTGCAAAGCACAGGTGTTCTGGATCTAAAGCCCCCTGGTGCTCTCAGTTTTGTCTTTGTCCTTCAAGGTCTTCTGGTGGTACCTACCCAGGTTACCCCCACAAGGAAGCGACCACAAGCCTGCTTTTTCTCTGAGACCGTCTCATAATGACAGTAGGCCCACTTAGCCAGTGCCCAGAAAAGCTGTCAATATTCCCATATTTGTGTTTTGAGAAAATGCATTATTGCTTTGGCAAGGTTTTCAAGAAAATTCCATGATGTTAAGTTGATGTATTTACATGTAATGCCATTGTTCAGAATTCCCTACTCTCAACATTCACTGCTTATGCCAAATCAGCGTGAATATTAAGAGGTGGCCAACACCGCGTGTATCACTCCTTAGTAGCCACTGGCAAATTGATAACATCACACATATATATGAAAATAGTCCTTGTTCCTGATTTAGCTCAAACTACAAACCTTTCTTCCCCGTGTATTTTTTTTTTAAATGAAACAATTTCTCTGCTTATGACTGTTCACTTGAAAACATACCATGAACTAGTCATATTTTTAGTACCACAGGACTGTTAGCAATTTTATTTTAGTCTGCATGTATTCTGAAGAAAACTAGAAATCAAACATTTAATTCGGGATAAATACCACCAGTTCTGATACTGTTCATGGCTCTATGAATGTTTCGTTTCATTCCTGACTGATTTCTCTCATGTAACTTCAGGAAAATGGAAAGAGAGATCCTTATGGTAGCTAGAGAACATTAAATCTGAAGACTTACTATTTAGGCACATATCTCGCTAGAAAACAGTGATTTAAATGGTTTTAAAGTAGAACACATCTTACCAAAAAGGTAAAAAAGAACAGATAGATAGCAATTTGCAATTAATAGCACTAGACTCTCAAATACAGCTAAACAAAAATTGTTCCCATGAACTGAAATAAGCCAATATAAATAATCCCGAAAGCATAGTTGGCTTAAGTTTGGATGGTTTCTTAAAAGTGTACTTTAAGGGGCGCCTGGGTGGCTCAGTCAGTCTGACTCTTGATTTCGGCTTGGGGTCATGACCTCGGGGTCCCGGGATCAAACCTTGCGTAGGGCTCAGCAGAATCTGCTTGTCTCCCTCTCCCTGTGTCCTCCTTCCCCCGACGCTAGCGCACACTTTCTCTCTAAAGTAAATAAATAAATCTTTAAAAAAAAATGTACTATAAAATCTTAATTTCTGAAGGCTCACTTTAAATAGGGAGGTGTTACTGCGGTGCATTGGAAGGTTAAATACCCTTTGTGATTACTTAATTAAGATGCATTTGACTTCTGCCAAGTTTTTATTGCAGCACAAGCTCTACATTTTCTGAAGTCACTAAATTTCTCGTTACAGCACAGGAAAAAGAAGATAAAGTAGGAGGGGGATGACTTTCAAATTCAGTCCTAAACAGCAACATGTTTGAGAGGCAATCATAAAACCAAACAAGGATATGGAAAAAGCAATGGATCACCAGAAAGCAAAGAGTAAAAAAGCTGCAAGCAAAAGCAGTAAAAGATGCCACGCTTGGAACAAGGTCTTACTGACAGATATCAGGCGAAGAAGCTCATGCCTTTATGACAAAAACAAAAAGCTTTGTTCACATTGAAATGACATATTTACTTTTGAGAATAACAAAGTTACCATGGAGATATATTTTTCAAAAAAATTTCATTTTCTCAAATATTTTTTACAATTATTTTGTTTCTTTTTTGTAGCATTCTGTCCCCTAACATTAACTTTCTTGACAGTCACATACCAAAAGTCTGTGGCAGGGCCTCAGCAGTAAGTTTCTGCTATGCCAACCTTCACTATTTTGACTTTGTGGACTTAGGAGAGTTACAAATGTGTGTATTTTGTTATTAGTAAGGCAGTATAAAATTTAGAGTTTTTTTTTCTGAAGTTTGTTGAAAGGAATGAATATTGGTACTCTTTAAGTGTTATAGACAATGCTTGAATTTATTCACGTGGTTTGGGCATTTGCTCCTTTCACACACACGTTATTAAATGTAGTGCAACAGCTGTTAGTTTGAGAACACTGACAACCTGGGAATCCCCTTCATCTTTAGCCTACCTCTCCTGATATGTAAGCTAATACCTCAGGGTCGATCAGTACTGTTGACACAACTGAGAGAACCCTTTGGATTGGAACACTGCAACACAAGCGTATTTACTTGACTATCTTCTTGGCGGTAACAACATTATACTAGCCAACATCTTGATGAAGAAACTAGATGAAAATCCATGTCATTTAACAGTTTTTAGATGTTGGGAGTATGAAGCCAGAAGACAGACAAGCTCTTTCCCAGAGCCAAATCTGATCAGCGACACTTAACGCACTTCCGATGCGAACACACACATCTGTTGTGAAATGTAAGGAAAATTAAACTGCATGAATACTTGAGACTTCAAAGCTTTCGTCCCTAAATCCCCAAAGGTACACATCTCTCCTCCTCTTTTAGGAGGCTTCCGACAACCCGAGTGAGGAGCACTGCTTGAAATAAAGCGGAGTAAATGCTCCTTAAGAGTCAATATTAGATGGCAGGTTTTGGTGAGGTTTGGACTGGAATTAAGGTAAACCTTCTAAAACTGAGGCCATAAAGGATTACTTGAAAGTATCACTTGAAAGTATCACCCTGTCCATTTGCCACTACTAATAAAACAACTTCACAACTAGACTGACATGGATACATTTTCTTCTGTTCAAAAGAAGCTTCAAACCTTACTGAGCATCTTTCAGGTAAGTCTACAGAAATTTTCTATTTTTATTTCCCCTTTATATCAAGGAAGCAGAAATACAGATTGGGCTTTTTGCAAATTAGTGACTGAGCAAAGAACTACTCATATTCTAACCCTCTTACTTTTGCTCGTAACCTAGAATTACATTATTTACAAAGATAAAAGGGACCCCATTACAAAATGATGCATGTCACCTTTGGCAAATGCATGAGTTGGAGTAATTGCCTTTGAAATTCTTCAAAAACTCAAAACTGTAAGGTGAATAGCTTTTATCAAAAACTCCACATCAAAATAGAAAATTTAGTAATGGAGTGTCTTTTCATTTTCTTCTACTAGGAAAATTATTAGTATAGTTTCATGAACAAAGGTAAAACAGTAATGAAAATAACTAGGTACAACCATTCCATCCTGTGACTATCAGAAGATGATGGGTTTGTGAAAAGTCAAGGCAACAAAATAGGTCACATTATGAGTATGTCAAAGAATTCACAAAAAAAGGTAGAATTCTCACTTCTCTTTAATCACTGAATTTCAGTTTTTACGAATAATCTTAGGACAATTCAGGTAACTAAGGTTTTGGGAGGGAACAGTTCTTGTACATGAAGAACTATGACATGCTCAACTGTTCTGCAAATAACTCTACTGGCTGGATTATCAAACATTTTCACAGAAACAAATTTTTTTAAAGCCAAAGATCACTGCATTTATATTTACAAAAAAGCCATAAACAAACATGCACTTCTCCTTTACTGGGAGAACTGAAATCAATGTTTGAACATTAAGGCAGTGACGATTCTAAAACAATTAAATTCTAAGTTAAGGCTTTATATTTGTTTTGAAACCCATAGTCATAGGCCACTGTGACCAAAGCAAACTCTTATCTACCAGGTTGGGTTCATCTCTCCAGGATATGTTATTTATTCACTACCAACTATTCTTCTATGGGATAGGAATTAGTAGTAACATCATCTATGTACTTGGGGCTATTAGTCCACTCCTTAGGTTTTATTTTGAGGATTTTGCCTTCAGCAGCATAAGCATGTGCCACAGAAGGAACTTTTTCTTAATAAACTTAGAAAATGTACTGGTTGCACCGATTTTTCCTTGACTGAAAGTTGGACAACAATCCTAAATACAGTAAACCTCCAAAGCATATATGACCATGCTTCCATCTAAAAACATGGATGTTCTTGATTACTGAAATAACTGGTCTTCACCTCCTTTTCTTTGAAGACTGGTATTGCCATCTAAACAAATAAAGCAACAAAATGCAGAATACCTTATTTTAGGAGGATCTGTTCTATACTTGCTATCCTCAAGGCACAAATAACATCCTTGCTAGGCCAATGTCTTTCCTTATTCAAGGAAAAGATGAGAAGTGGATGAGAAGATTCACTTTAGAATAACTGTTGATTGCACACTTGCCCTATCAACTTACACTGAAATTTAGCAGGCGGGGATGTCCTTTTCTCTTCCCCCCCCCCTTTTTTTTTTTTTTAACATTTAGAGAGACAAAACTCAGATCCAGCCTACGGGTACACTTTGAGAAGCAGCTGTGGAAGCACCACCCTCGCCTACCGGAGAGAATAGGAGGGATGTTCCCAGAGCACACTCCAGTATGAGTTTCCACGGCTGGAATGACGTACGGTTAATCAGACTAGAAGGATCGCTATTTACACTAAGTGCTTGCCGCTACTTCTTGAAGCAGTAATTTTACAGCAACATGTCTTGTGAGGAAAGTACTGTACACTTGGGTTGGTATCAGCAATAGTTCATGTGGAGGAAGAATGGCATTGACTACATGGTCTCAAAAGCTAAAGACAGCTGTAGTTCTCCTTTGTCTTCAAGTCAGAAAAAAGTGAGATGTCAAAGCAGATGAAATCGCAGGCAGCATGAGTCCCACGCCATCGAAGCGCTGGCACTTACATCTGACGTGTGGCATCCCATTTCTTTAGATTTACTATCAGGAAACAGGAATTTCTAACAAACACTGTCAAATATTGTAGGTGCAACTTAAGTTAAGCAAGACACATTTCCACTGAAATGTTTTGAAGATCTGAAAAGTCTGTACCCTAGTACCTGGTAAGCTTGGCTTCAGCTAATTGCTAGATGGGTTTGAAAGGTGTGAAATACACTTGTGTTTTTAAGATGGGAAGACTCACTATGACAGGGCAAATGTAGGCAACACAGAAACAGTATTTTTAGATCAACATCTTACACTTTATAATACACTCACATTTATACACAAATTTCATGTTTACAAGTACAAAAGGCAAAGACCCTCCAAGAATTGAAGTAAATGCATCAGTAACTACATTCAATAGTGTTAACACTGTTGTCCTGCTCTCCATTTTCCAAACCCAGAAGAAAATCGTAAACGCCATCGCACGCTCAGACTTCATTTTTAGAAGTTGGAGACCGTGTGTGGTTCCGCACATGTCTGGGTTTCTACAGAGCTGAACTGAGATTCCATTGTGTTCCAGGCCAAATCGGCCAGAAGAAAGTCATCCATGGCTGTTTGAGTTTCGTTGCTGGTGAAGAACAAGCTCCCTAGGGTTTCGAAGCCAGAATTCATGGTCTGTGTTTCTGTACTGTTCAATTGAACTTTGCTCTCTACAGCAGGTATGTTTTTAGCAGCAGAGATTCCTTCAGTTTGGGTCTCTGTGTCAGATGAATCAGTACTCATGGAAAAGCTGGAGTGTTTCAGAGTACTTCCCAGAGGCAGGTGGGGGCTACTGTCTAAAAAGAAGTTTAAGTCTGTCTGTGTCTGCGTGTCAAACATTTCAAGGCCTAAGAAATTAGAATTTCCCCTACAACTATAGGACTGAGCAGATGTGTCTGCAAGGAAGAAGTCCGTTTGGGTTTCTATGTCCAGTGATTCCAAGACAGGCTCGGTGGTCATGGTGTTAAGCTCACTCTCTTCAGTTTGAGTCTGGATATTTGAGGCGGACAAAAACTCTTCAATATCAAAATCGATTGCGGGATTCTGGGTCGGGCCAGATGGGAGCTGGGGGTCAGGTCCAGTATTTGTGTCAGACAAAAGACTACGATTGTCCAGTGTCTGACTGGGCAGATTATTTGACAAGATGTTTTCTAAATCGCTTAATAAATCTATAGTTTGGGTCTGGTTATCTGTCATGTTCTGTGAAGGAAGCATACTGTGCTGTGCACTGAAGTTTATAATCGGTGCAGATTTCTCAAGATCTTGATGTAAAGTCTTAGGGTGGTTCTGAGGTAACAAATCATGAGCGACGGTCTCCGCTACTAAGCTGCTGCTTATAATGCTGTCTGCAGAAACACCGTAGGGTGAATGGACGCTCCCAAAAATGTCAACAGCTTGGTCCATCTGTACTTGGTCATCTGTCAGACCTTGCATTCCACTGGTCTGGGTTTCTCTGGAGATCCCGCCTGACTGGTAACAGGCATCTATAAACGCATCAGTCTGAGCAGCTATGGATGAGGTCACCTTAGAACTGGGCAAAAACGTTTGTGTATGCACACTGATGGGAAGGGAGACTTGAGAACCAAACGTCAAATCTGTTTGAGAACAAGACGATACAGAAGAATCAGGCTCAGCCCACTGTGTGGAAGGTATGAAGGGTTGCGTGGCGTAAGACAGCTCTGTCTGTACGTTGATTGAAGAAATGCTGTTCTTCTGATATGTGTTCCCTAGTTCTTGTAAAGGATTAGACAGGCTCTTCCCCAAGTTCACTTGAACACCTGTACTAACTGGCTCCACAGCAACAGGACTTACAATTTTTGAAAGAGGGAGACTTTCCTTAAGACAGCCAGCCTCTGAATCTAGGCCGAGGATCAGGGTTCC